ATTTGGCTGTGTCAGAAAAAAATTGACAATAAGATAAAAAAAACATTATAAGTATAGTTAAGAGCACGACTGGTGTATAAAGCTTTATTATACTCTTCCCAGTTCAATTAAACACAAATCTACCGCTTACACATTCGGATTACTTTATCTCTAATCATCAATATCCTGCAACAACAAACTATAATTTGTAAAATATCACGAATCATGAATACCCTGCAAACAATCAGTTACAATGTTTAAATTCACGAATTAACGAACCATGACTATCCTGTAACAACCAACAAAATTTTGAATGAGTTAAGTGTACAAATCACGAATCATGACTGTCCTGAACAATAAACTACATTGTTTAAAGAATTAAATGTACAAAATTACGATGCATGACTGTAATGCAATAACTAACTACGTTGTTTAGAGTTAAGTTGTACAAAATTATAATCCATGACTATCGTGCAATAAGCAGCTGACATTGCTTAAAGTGCAAAGTGTACAAACTCACAATCATGACTATTCTATAATAAATAACTACAGCTGACATTGCTTAAAGTGCAAAGTGTACAAACTCATAATCATGACTATTCTATAATAAATAACTACCTATTTGAAAGTTAAGTCGGAGATAAACCAATAGAGAGGCACAGATGAGGAGAAGGTTAGAGGAAAATTTCAAAATCGGTAATTATCCCTTTGGATATGGTGAAGCCCATCATTAAGAAGTGTAATGTGCTTCATACCACCCAGTCACTACCCATACTAAGCAGTCGAGCAAGCAGGAAACTGGCTAGTGATGCCACTGTGAAGCTTTTTGATCTCAATTCAAAGCGTTATGCCCAACACAGCACTTCACCGAGTCAACTGTCAAGCATGATGGTGGAAACATGATAGCAGAGACTGAGAGGCTTGTCAGGATTGAGGGGAAGATAGATGGTGCAAAGTACAAGCGAATCCTAGAGGAAAACCTGCCATGAATTTAAAACTGGGTCGAAAATTTACATTTCAGCGGGACAATCACCCGAAGCACAAGGCCAAAGCCACACTGGAGTAGTTTCAAAAGAAAAAAATCAATGTCCTGGAGTGCCCCAGTCAAAGTCCTGACTTAAATATATTTGAAAATTTATGGTGAGACTTGAAGATTTAGTCCATCAACGAACTTGTCAGAATTGGAGAAATTTTGCGAGGTAGAGTGGTCAAAAATTACACCAACCCATTGTGCAAAGTTGAAGATTTAGTCCATCAACGATCCCCAACGAACTTGTCAGAATTGGAGAAATTTTGCGAGGTAGAGTGGTCAAAAATTACACCATCCCATTGTGTAAAGTTGTTAGAGACCCATCTAAAAAACTCACAGCAGTAAGTGCTTCCATCAAGTACTGACTTAGAGGGCTGACTACATATGCAATCAGCAAAGTTCAATATATATATATTTTTTCTTTGCAAGTTTTCCTGACATTGAACATCCTTCATGGATGATAGTGTTAAGTTTGATCATTAAAATTTGGAATAAAAACAACTTCATTAAAAAATTTTTACATTAGTTGTATTTCATCAAAATGTGTCATTATTGGTAGGTGTGTATACTTTGCAAGACACTGTATTTATCATTTTAAGCGCACATTTTGTTTAGAGAAATACTGCTTTAAAATAAGTTTTCTCACTGGTTCAAAAAATAAATTTCAACATCATCTCGCAGCACTTGGCAGGATTAATACTGATAAAACTGATAGGTCATTCTACAGAGCTGTGGGCTAAAATATATCTAAGGGTAAGCAGGTTTACTTTCTAAGCATGATTTATGAACACTTCTTACAGTAACAGAACAAAAAAATCACTACTTGCTAACATTCTTCTTATAACAACAATAGAACCACACTCTCCAGAAATATGACTCCAGTTTATGATACGTCGTGTTGTTACCAATACCAAAACACAACTTAACACTGTGGCTTTTCGTGTTGTCACCACTACCACAATCCATTTTGTGTTTGACCCGACGTGTTGTCATTAGTACCACAGTACAATTTGTCTCTGACTCTTCGTGCTGTCTCCAGTACCATAGTACAGTTTGTCTCTGACTCTTCGTGCTGTCTCCAGTACCATAGTACAATTTGTGTCTGACTCTTCGTGCTGTCTCCAGTACCATAATACAATTTGTACTCAGTCCTCGTGTTATCACCAGAACCACCATACAATGTATGTCTGTAATTCTTCATGTTGTTTCAAATACCAGAATACAGTTTGCTTGTGTCAGTCTTCCTGTTCTTATCGATACCACAATACAACTTGCATCTATGTCTCTTCGTGTTGTTAAAAATATCACAATACAGTTCGTGTCTGTGATTCTTTACGATATTAACAATATGCTATACATATGCAATATGTAGTCATCAGTACCACAGTTTAATTTTTTCTTTGACCCTTCGTATTATCACCCAGTACTATACTACAATGCAATTTGTGTCTATAATTTTTGGTCGTACTGTTACCAATATAACAATGCGGTTTGCCTGTGACTCTTCGTCTTGATACCAACATAATAATACAGTTTGTGTCTGCGAATCTTCGTCTTGATACCAACATAATAATACAGTTTGTGTCTGCGAATCTTCGTGTTGATACCAGTGCCAT